AACACTCCAACGTTTAGTGGCTTTAAACAGTCTATTAATGTGTCTCATGCTGCTGCCGTTGATGGTCTCAGCTGAGGAACTTCTCGCTTGGGATTTCTTTCTCATGAGGTTGCAGTTAGCAACAGCTGGGCCTGGAGTCACCCGAAGGCTCAGCTGAGCTGGATGTCCAACATGGCGCACTGACACAGCTGGCAGTGGATGGTGGCTGTTGGCTGGGAGCTTAGCTGAAGCTGGTGACTGGAGTGCCTACTTGTGGCCACTATGTGACTTGGGTTCTCAGAATGATATAGCTGGGTTCCAAGAGGGTGTGTCCCAGGAGTGAGCACTCCTGGAGAAGCAGGTGGAAGCTGCAAGTCTTCTTATGACCTTGCTTTGGAAGTCATGCAGCATGACTTCTACCATAGGCTACCAGTCATAAGCAAGACACAGGACCATGCCAGGCTTAAGGGGATGGGATTACAAGGGGCATATTTTACCTAGAGGACCATATTTGCAGACTAGCTACCATAGTCACCAACTTGGTCCTGGTCTTAATTGGCTTCTTAATGTCTGTTGACCTAGTTGATTGTTTTATTTCAAAACTTTTCCTTCTCTGGCTCCACAGACCCCTGGCTTTCCTCTTTCCTCACTGGCTGCTCTTTAATCTCCCTTGCTTTTCTGTAAACTCTAAATATTGGACCACCTCCAGTTCTAGGCCTGGGCTCAATTATTTCTTTATAATATCTCCCTCCATGATCTTACTTGTCCCATGGTCAGTGCCTACCACTCAAATGTTGATGTCTCCAAATTTTATCTCTAACCCTGACCTCTCACCTGTGCTTAGGATTGTGATACCCAGCTGCCTTCTAGATATTCCATTTAGGTGTCTAATGGGCATCTCAGATTTAACATATGCACTTCTCCACCCCAGTGCTCCCCCATCCTTTTCTATCTCAACAGATGGCATCATCATCCATTCATTGTTCAAGCAAAAAACCCCCCAAAACCCAAGGGTCATCCAGGATTTCTTCTCCCTTCTTTTCAACACTCCACCCCCATCCAAACCACTAGTAAGCAAGTCCTCTCTGTTTTGGGTGCCTGGCATTAATATATTTCTTTAACTAGATTTGATGTATATTGTTTAGCAAATGAATACATTTACAGAGACAAAAAGTATTACTAAGCTTATCATGTAAAAGCAGTCTGTTACCCCATCATACATTTTTATTCCCCAGAGCAACTACTCTCAACTATTTTAGCTAGTTTTCCTGCTACTTGCTTCTGTATTTAGATTTTTCTCATATAGATAGCTGTTTCTTGATTTTTCGATTTTAAGTATTATCTGTTGGCTTTCACCTATGGAAAATGAGGGTTAGCTTTCTTGTACGCTCATTTCCTCCCCCACCAAACACATATACTTATCCTTCTCCCAGCCTCCACTGTAGCTTTGTCACAATTTTTGGTTAAAATAGCTGTTTAGTGTTTATGTTTGTATGACTCTGTCGATATTTCTAGCTATGTAATGTGTTATATGATTAGAATTCTTCTTTTCCTCCCTCTGGAGTTAATACTTGCCTTTTTTTTTTGGTTGTTGTGAATTTCAAAAAAAAACCCCTTATTTTAAAATAATTAAAGATTTACAGGAAGCTACAAAAATAGTGTGAAGAGGTCCTGAGGACCCTTCATGCAGTTTTCCCCAGTGGTAACATTCAACATGACTGCAGCACATCGGAACCAGAAAATTGCTATTGGTGAAATCAGCAGACCTTCCTCAGATTTCACCGGTCCTCCCAGTTTTAACTGTATGTATCTCAGAGTCACCCCTTCTGTTTCTGCCATACCATTTTTATCCCAGCTGCCATCAGCTCTCTTAGGACCACGGCAACATCCTGAGTTCTTGCTTCTGCTGTTGTTCCTCTCCAGTCTATTTTCCACAAAGCAGCAAGAGGGATCTTCTAAAAATATTATTAGGTCAAATCCTTTATCCTTTCCCTGTTGCTCTTAGAATGAAATTCAAACTCTTCACCAGGACCTCCAAGGCCCCCTGGGACCTGGCTCTTACCTACCTCCTCAGAGACCCCTTTCACCCCTCCTCGCCCAGACACCCTTCCTATTCCCTCTGTCTGGCTGTGCTCCTGCAGCTTTCAAATGGCTGGCCTTTTCTCATCCTTCCTGTCTTAGCTCAGTGGCCCTCTGCTCAGGTTGTCCCTGATCATCCGACTAAAGTGGGCCCATCCTTCTCTTGCTGCCTTCTACGGGTAGATGATCTACAGTAACCTTATTTACTTGCTCCCTGTCTGCCTCCTATTCTGCAACGTAAGTTGTATGTGGGTAGGAACTTGTCTGTACCACTCACTGCTCTGTCCTCACTGCCCTGCACAGATAATTACCCTCCCTGTCACGGAGTGCAGACTTGGCAAATGTTTAAATGGAGACAACTGGGTCAGGGACCCTGATGATGGGCCCATGTGCTCTGACAGCTCGACCATTGCTAGGAATCCAGGCTGCTATCTTGCACTCTGTCATTTGTAACCCACAGCTTCTCATAGTCCAAGATGGCTGCTCCAGTTCCAGCCATCAGCCCTGCATTCCGGCCAGCATGAAGGTGAAAGGGTTTCACATTCTCCCTTTAAAAGCACTTCATGGAAATTATACACATTATTTTGTGCTAGTGTTCCATTGGACAGAACTTAACCACATATACACACCTTGCTACAAGGGAGCCAGGAAATGTAGTCTTTATTATGGACCATGTATTCTAGTTCTAGTTTGTGGGTCATATTGCTGAGAAAGAAGAAAAGAATGCATGTTGGGAAACCTCGAAGTCATCTCTGCCACTGTTTTCCCGCCTATAGTACCAATCACTGTGCTGAAATAAATTCTTCACTTCTTATTGGACTGGGGCTGTGTCTTTTACCTCTTAGCACAGGCAGGTGCTTAATGTTTGTTATATAAATAAATGATTCCAGGGCTTCCATCTTATTTTAGAAATTAGAGAATTGAGGCACTGGAGGGTGAAGTGACTAGGGTCACCTGGCCCAGGTTCCCACTGAATTCAGGAAGCTGCTTTCCTGCAGACTGGGTAGGTGGCCTCTATTGACCATGTCCACTGCCAGGCATTCTTACCTCTGATTCTGGGCAGCTCCAGCCATCCAAGGCCCCTTCTGGGTGTGGAGCCACACTTGGTTCCATGGAACTCTCCCGTTGGTCCTCCGCTGCCCTCTACAGCATGTATCCACTTCCAAACCTTCCCTGCCCCAAGGTCTTCCCTTGGTCAGGCAAAGACGCCTCCTGGGAGTCTTCACAGAACACGATCCTCCCCTAGGGGTGGGGGATACTTGGAGCCTGAGAGCCCTGGGCAGGAAGGCCGTCCCACCTTTGTCCTGAAGCCCTCCTGGGTTAGCAGGAGGAAGCTGACGACCCTTACTCTTTGCCAGAACTCTGAAGGATCCCAGACCCAAAGATTCCTTAATGGTAGATGAGGAAATGGTTTACTCTTAGCCCGGGACTTGTTCTTTCACATGTGAAGACAAACCTGCCCATCACAACGTGGAAACTGCAAACAGAGAGGAAAGGGATGTCATGCTGAGGGGGCTGGAGGACGCATGTCGCAAGTGCCCTGGACAGCTGGTACGTTTATTGGTTAGCCAGAGGAAGTCCCTCCATCTCCCCGTGGTGCTCTCCCGCCTTCCCCGAGGGGGCCCTGGATGTCGGGGAAGTCCTCACACTGCACCCTGTGCCGCTGTTCCTCTGTCTCGGTGGACGATCCAACCAGAAATGGGGGTGTGGAGAGGGGCTTCTTCTGTCGCTATTGAGCAAGAATTCCATGTCCTAAGGTAGGGACAGAGATAGCAGAGGGGAACGTGGGAGATGGATGAGGAGGAGTGGGAAGGCGTTTGATGGGGTGGGGTCTGGGCATGTGTGCAGGAACCTGGGAGGGCCTATGCCCTGCAGCATCTCACAGCTCTCCTGACGTGGCCAGAGAGGACCTGGTGGCTGTCGTGGCCTGCCTCTGAAAGTCCCTGGTAGCCTCAGCCCGCAGAGCGATCCTTCTGGGTCGCCCTATGCTGTGAGGCCCGGTGGCCCTGACTAAGTCATAGGGCCCCTTCTCAGGCCTAGGCCTGGTCCCCTCTTCTCCGTTCTTGCCCTCCTATGGCCCCTGGGCCTCTGACGGCCTCTGTGTCTTCTGAAGCTAATCCCACTCCCTGTGGGCCTCAGGCTCTCCTCCCTGAAGCATGGCTGCTATGGGCAAGGTGTCTGCCCAGGACGCTGGTAGGGTGGCTGCTCAATTCTTCAGGGAAACAGCACCAGGCTGTGACACAGACCGTACCAGAGGCTCACACAGGTAGCAGGGCCTCACGGTATTCTCATGCTTGAGGCTTCCCAGTTCTTCCAGAACTTTGGCTCTTACTACCCCGAGGGTAGCATCTGAACTCCCTCCCCCTATGAAGGCTCCTTTCATTTTTTGGCTGCAAGCAGGGCAGCGCAAGAGGGGCCTGTGTCCATGATGTCCCTGCATCTGGAGACCCCAGGCTGTCTGGCCTGGGCTGAGTGGCTGACACCCTGCATGGGGAGGGATGGGCTCTGTGGTCGGTGACCCAGGCAGCTCCCTCTCTTCCTTGAGGGCTCCTCTTGTCCTCTTTGGGCACAGCTGCTACACGGGCCACTGGCAAGGCACAGGCATTAATGGGAGATGTCAGGCAGTGTGGGAGTCAGTGGCATGAATTTAGATCCTGGGCCTTTAAGCAAATGCTCAGGAAAAAAATCATCCTACCCAGAGCTAAATACCAAATGAGTCAGCTTCTGGATAGTTACCACCCTCCTCCCCCAAATTCCCCTGCAAAGCAGGGAAGGCTGTCTGGGGGCTGCCTCACTCTGCCAGCAACTGCAACCTAGAATCACCCTGGGATGCTGTTCTAGTCCACAGTGCCAGGGGTCGCTGTTCGCATTCCACTCAGTGGCTTTTAGGGGAGGGAGCCAGCGATGGGCCTCAGTGTTCCCTCCCCACCCTCAGTCCTTTGGATAGCCGTGCTGGTTTTAAGAGGTTTGTCTTTACTCCTCGGTGATGTGGGCAGCTCCCAAGGCTCCCGCGCGTCCTCTCCATAGCAGATGTGACTTGATAGGGGGGAGAACAACCAGATCTGAGAAGAAAAACGTGGACTCCACACCCTAGTGCTTTTTAGCATATTCTGGAACCAGTGCCATGTGGCTTGGCCATTGGAGTCTGTCCTTCCTGCCAGGTGAGTCAGCAGAGATGGAACATACTTTTTCTGGGCAAACGTGTCACGTTAGAGTGGTTCTGAGAAGCCGGGCACACAGTGGTCCAGCCCTGCGGGCAGCGGGGGAGTGGAAGGGCTGCTGAAAGTAGGGAAGGGGGAGACGGGGAGGTGGCAGGCAGACCTCTGGCTAAGGGAGGGGGACAGGCCTGGAGACAGAGGAGCAAAGTAGACTGACAGGAGAATGGATTCCAGAGGCTTGGTTTTATTGTACAGTATTCTTTTTCCCCAATGAGATGCCGTAAGCTGTGGTGGCACTACACATGGTCACGAGACAGGGCAGGGCCGCCGGGTGGGGGGCTGGGTGTTGGGAAAAGCCATCTCTTGAGGCATGTCCCATTCATGGGTCTCACCCAACGGCCTGCCTCAGGCCCCCCAGAGGTCCTGAGAAGGCAGGCCTAGGGGGCAGGGGGTGTCTGAAGGCTGAGGCACTGATAGGGGAGGAAGGAAGAGCCTCCAAGAGAAACACTTGGGCCACTCTGGGCGGCTCCGGGGCTCCACCTGGCCTGACTTACTGTCTCCAGGTCAGAGTTCCAAGAGCTCTCAGGAGCTTGGGATAGCCTGGGAGGGGGCGTGTCCTCCTCTGCCATCCTCCCAACTCTGGCTGAGCTGGTGAGAGACACTAGGCTCCCAGTTTTAGCTTCCTCAGCTGGGGCAGATGAGGGACTCTCCCTTCTACCCTGCCTCTCCAACCCATCAGCACCACTTTCCGGGCAGAACCTGCATTTTCAGTGGACCCAGGCCCCTTGGGAACTTCTGCAGGGATAAGAAGACAGCTTTTTTGCTGTGGCAGAAAGTGCTCCTGGAGATGCTCAGTCCTGTCCTCACATGACGGGCCACAAGTGCTTGGCGGTGCCCTCACATACAGGGTCTGCAGGTGCCATTCCTGCCTGCTGACCCCCTCCCCTCTCCTCATCCAGGTCTCTCCCAGGCCCCTGGTCCCAGTGGGCAAGGATGATCTTCCACCTGCCAGGGGCTGATATCCCTCCATCCTACACCCCTCCCATCCCCTCACTCTCCATCAGGTTCCCAGCCCTGGCTTCCCTTTTCACGAACTCCAAAGAAAAGGAAGGAAAAGCCCTAAATAAACCAGACAGAAGCAGCTCTGGAACAAAGAGTGCAAATAGCCAGTGGCGTGCGGAGAGGGTACGAGGTGGCAGTGGCAGAGAGGGTGGATAATGGCATGCAGCACTGGGATTCCTTAGGAGGGGTGGGGTCCCCATTTCTCCCCGAGGTGTGTGAGGCATTGGGGGGAGGGGGTTAGCAGACTCAGAGAAGTAGGCTCTCTGGACTGGGCCTGTGGCTTCCTGTATACTCCATGGGCCCAACCAGTCACAGGGAAATGAAATCCATGGCCTGCAGGAGGGGCAGGGAGAGCAGGAGCAGCAGCAGCCACGAGGTGTTCTGGACCAGCAGGCTTATGCCCTCACACTTGACCAGTTTGTCTGTGGAGAGAGAATGGGGTAGAGGGGCAGGGCTGGAATGAAGAGAGACCAGGCAGGCGCAGGCCCATTCCCCTGGGGAGGCAGGTGACATGAGGTCTTAGCTGAATCCAGGGCCGACCTGGTCCAATAGAACCATGTTTCCCATCTGCAGTTTCCTGACATTATCACAAGAAAACTGTAGGTGAGGTAGCCAGCACCGTCCTGTCTTCCAGGTAGGGAGGAGGAGGCTTGGGGAAGCCAAGTGATTCACACTTGGCCCTTCCCCCATTCACACTGAGGGCCGTGAATCCCCAGGGCCCAGGCAGCGGTGTGGGGAAGCGGAGAGGGGTTTTGGGGCCACTCCCCTCTCCGGCCCAGCTAAGGGGACTGCCTGCTGTCCCAGCCAGCCCGTTCCTCCCCAGCCTGCCTTTCCCAGCTCATTTGGTCTTGTGGTGAGGGCTTGCCTTACCTCTGAGCACAGAGACATTCTTGTTGGAGATGGTGGGAGGCTGGCCAGAGAGGCGGAGTTCACATGTGTAGAGTCCCTCATCCTTGGTGGTGAAGCCGGATAAGTAGAGGACCTTGATGTTGTACTTGCTGGAGAAGCTGGTTCGAGAGCGGTATGTGTGCTCAGGCACCCCCACAGTGCCATAGAGCACGTGCTTCTTTGTCTCCCGGGTCAGGCTGAACTCGTACTGAATGGGCAGGCTCGTGGTGTTCTCATGGCGGCAATCTAGACGAAGGCTCTGGTCCACGAGGCAGGCTGTCAGGCTGGTCACCTTCTGCCCACGGGCCACCTGCAAGACTGGCACCAGCAAGGGGAAGCACATGCTTAGCATGCACGTCCTGAGTTCAGTCTCTAGTACCTCCATATAAATACATACATACATACATACATACATACATACATACCTAATTACCTCCCCCCAAAAAAATTAAAAAAAAAAGACTGGCACCAGCAGTGCCCTCTCCGAGTTGGGGAGGACCTGCAGAACAGGGGGCCTCCTGCTGACATTAATAGTAGAGAGGGCCAGCTAGGGAGGGTACAAGGGTCTGCTCTCTGAGTACCTCTCCCCACCCAGAGGTCCCTGAGGGCCAGTCCGCCTTCCCCACTGGAAACCCCAGCCTACCTCCCTCATCTGCTCTAGTCCTGGGTCCCACCAATGTGTTCCAGGGTCAGGAGATCTTGGCGGAGAGGATGCAACTGGTTCCCATATGGAGATTCCAACTCAATATGGGGCAGGCTCAGTGACTTGTGTTTCCAAAAGCCACCCCAGGCAGTTAGAAGATGAACAAGATTGTTCAGCTGACTTAGGGAGGAAAAAGGGCCCTCTCTCCCTTGGTCACCTCTGCCTTCTGAGGTCATGAGGAAAAAGCTAGCTTCTGTGAAGGGAAGGAAGCTTGGAATCCCAACCCTGCCCCTTGCCCAGTACCTGTCAGCAAGAGAGCGATGCCAATGGTGGGTTTCATGTTGCCGAGAGCTCAGTCCTGGATCTGGGGGTGGAACAGGATGGGAATCAGCCAAGAGGTGGGACAGGTGTGCCCACACTTACTGTCAGGGCGAGGGGGCCCCTGGGAGACATGCCATAATGACCATGGTGGGCATCCAAGCCTCTCTCTACTGTCCTCTCCCCTCCTGACTTCTCAGTGAATGTAACACTACCACTGGGCTCTTCCTGATTAGGGAAAGCAAAGGGGATGGGGAACACAGCCTTCAGTGGTATTTATCTGTGCCAAGCACTTAGTAGCTGGGTGGCTTTGGGTAAGTGACTTTAACTTGACCCTTGCTACTTCCCTTCTGGAAGGCAAGGACTTCCTATTTGCTTTTCAAGGGGAAACCACCAGTTCCTAAACAGTTCCTGGCATGTAACAGATGCCCAAAAGATGCTGAATGAAACTGAGCTTTGGATACCCACAGGGTTGTGATGGGGATTAAGAAAAATGACAGACATCTGGCACTGTTCCATAGTAAGTGATCCACAAATGTTAATTTCTCTCCTCTTAGATGACTGTGTGGGTAGGGATGACGTCAGGTATGTGTGTGGCTCCAGGTAAGACTGTACTAGGTGCACAGCTAATGGTGTTCCCGGTTGGGTAAGAGGAAAAGCGACAGTGCTCTCCAATTGCATTTGTTCTCTGCATCCGAACCAAGATGTTTCCAATGGTCCAGCTCTCCGGGTGGAATTCCTGGGTCTGCGGTTTCCCAGTCCGGCTTCAGTATCCTCCCTGCCTAGGCTCTCTGCCCTGTCTTTTTTTTTTTTTTTTTTTTTTTTTTTTTTTTTGCAGCCTAGGTTGGATCAATACCTGGCGAGGCGACAGGAGCGGGTAGTCTAGCCCGTCCGCAGCAGCGCTGGCCAGGGAGAAGCCAGCGGAGGGGCGTGCGCCTGTAGGGCGCGCCTCTCGCTGCTTCCTGGATCCCGGGCGGTCAGCCCTGCGGGGCGGGGCGGGGCGAGGCTGGGGTCCCGCGGAGGCCGCGGCTGCAGTCTGTTCCATCTCGGACCCCTGCAGGGAGGGACCCGAAAGTGCTGTTGGGGGACGAAAGGGGTCGACATCTGGTTTTGATTAGCAGATACTGAGTTACAGAGGAGGGGTGCGAGCTTGAGCTCTAGGAGGGGAAGGGGGAAGGGGCAGCTAGAACTAGAAGGGAAGAAATGGGGCTGATGGGAGGGGGATGTAGAGCCAAAGGGAGGGGTAGAGCGCGGTAGGGCAGGCGCAGTCTGTTTTTGGTTTTCTCGACCTTGTGTCCCCGCAGCCAAGAACCCGAAGAAGCTTCGCGCTCCTTCCCTCCCTAGCCTGTATTCGACTAACCCCACCCTTATACCGTTTCCATATCCAATCTTTTCCTTTCCCAAATGAGGTCCCCCTCCCCCTCATCCTTTTCCAGTTCTCGCCTCCCCCGCCTGCCTGCCTGCCTGCCTCCCCCCAGTCCCCGCCCGCAGCACTGCGGTTTAGTGCCTTGGGTGCCCCGCACTCAGTCTGCCGCGAGGCCGAAGGGCAGAAATGCCCTCCAGTGTGCGGTCTTCCTCTCTCCCTCCCCCACCCCCCGCCATTTCACCGCCCCCTGCCCCCGCCTTTGCGAGCCGGGTTTGGGGAAGTCTCGGTGGAGAGCAGACAGACAAGGCTGTCCTTAGCGCCCTTCCTCCCGGTTCTCCTCCAGCGCCCCAGTCCCAGGCAAACGACCCCACAGCCTACCGGGGCTCCGGCGAAAGCCCCGGAGCGCCTACCCCGAAAGGCGGGGTGCGCCGCGGCCCCCGGCCTGCAGCAGTGGCACCCCGCCCCAGCCCCTGCTTGGGCAGCAGGCTTCCTCCGCACGCACTGCGCGGCTCCTTCCCAGGGCACCCTCGGACCGTTTTCCAAAGCCTCGGGTTGGGAGGGCTGGCGTGGGCGCCTCGGGCCCATCGCTGCACCCCGGGTCCCGCCCCGGCTCCAGCTCTCACCTGGGCTCCGGTCCTCCGCCGCAGCAGCCTCCTTCCGACGCGCCGCCGCCTCCAGTTGCTGCACCCTGCCCGGCGCCCGCAGTTTTCACCCGGGGTGGGAGAAGAGATGCGGGGAGGGCCCGGGGGCTCGGCCAATCAGAGGCTGAGTGGGGAGCGAGAAAGGATGGCAGAGGGAGGAGAAGGCGGTCCGATATTGGTGTGGGAGAGTGGCCAATGCAGCAAAAGGGGACCCTCACCCTGTGGCTGGCAGGCCTGGCCAGGGACGGGAGGGTTCAGGACCCGGGAGATTAGGGTGGGGCCGCTCAGGAAACGCTAGCCCCCTCCCAGAGCCCCGCTAAGTCTGCTCCTCTTTTAAGGCTTTAACCCTTTCTTCTGACCCAGGCTTCTGAAGTCTGTGGGGAAACCAAGGGCCAAGGGGTGGAGAATGGAGGCCAGCAACTGGGTCCCCTTAGGCAGCGCACGCCTCTTCGTTTCCTTTTTAGCTGGAGCACATCTATCTCCGTGGGAGCCTCCAGTGAGGTTTTTGGTATTGGAACGTTCCAGGCTTTCTCTAAAGGAAGATGGTGGGGGTGTTTTTCCACATTGGGGAAGCCTTTTAGAAGCACGACAGGTACTGCACCTTTCCCAGTCCCCAGCTCGGCTGCACCCCGCTCACCCAGCCTAGAACACCCTGGGGCACTCAGTCCCCCCTCAGTGCCTGGGCCGGCACTTCCTGGCACCGGAAGGCACAGCGCTGGCACTTCCTGGCACAGACAGCTAGAAGGTTCTTCTCAATTTCAGGCACTCCTCCTGCCCTCATCCCCTCCGGTGTCCCTGAATACTGTTGCTTACTCTTTAGACAAGGGAAGGGTGCTGCCCTCTACCAAGCACTGTGCCTGGCACATTCCGTCCATGGCCTCACGAACCCGCCACAATCTGTCAGGTTCATCCCGCCCCACTCCATTCCACTTCATAGCCAATATGTAGGAGAGCTGGCCAGTTGACCTGGGCTGTGGAACCCCCATCCCCAGTGCTGAGCCAGTCTAAGTCTGCAACCCAGCCCAGTGGGAGGAGAAACTGTGAAACTGTGGGTAGGGGGAGGAGACGGGACCAACTAGAAAGGAATAGCAGATACTAAGCTTTTAATCCCCTGGGGCACCCCACCTAGCCCCGTCAGTTTGAAGCCCTAGGATTAATTTTTTTTATATTTAATTTTGTTTTATATCCAGTGCTGATCAGTTGTCTCTTCCACCCACAGGTGAGGTGATTTTTTCTTTTTTGAGTAAAGTTTTCTTTGATTGATTTGCATCCTTGTGGCCTCTTTGTGAATTCTAGTCCTGACATTTTGTGGGCTGGCGGCACCCCCGCCCCCACCATCTCTCTGCCCATTCTCATATTTCCTCATAGAAGTCAGCCCTGGCACCTTTGCTGCAGCTTCTATTACTGTAATGGCACTGTTGGAAGCCATCCCTGGGCTAGCACTAGAATAAGCGTCAAAGATGGTAGAGTCCAGGGGCCACTGGCTTTGGTAAACAACAGAAGCTTCTGGAGCACTTTATGAGAAATGGAGCTGCCCTGGTCCACCTGGGATCTCCCTGGTCTAGAAGTAGCCTGCAATTTTCACAAATTCCCCGGGGTCTGGGGACTGTAGACTATCTCTCTTCATCGATCAAGTGACCTGGCTTCTCCTTATAGGGTAATTTTTAAGGCCCTGGATGTCCTGGCCCCTGGCTGCTGACCTCCACCACCACCTCGTCTTTCCCACTCATCTTCCGGCTGCATTCCAGACATGCTGCCTCTTCCCTGTCACTCCACGTAGTGTGTTCTGACCTGCTTAGCAGCTTTCTGGTTCTCAGGCCAGGGGTCTTCCCTATCAGAACACAGTTGCTTTCGTTGCTTTAGCTTTGGCCTAAGCTTCCCCTGCCCCCGCCCTACCACACACACAGATGAGGCTGGAGATGTTTCCTTTTTTTGGAGCAGGACACAAGGATACACCCAGAGGCTCCTTAACTACAGAAGATATCTGGGCTCTGGCTGCTGTTTCCCATTCTATGGCCCAGTCTGAGTGTTGCTGGATGGAAGGCCTAGCTGTGCTATTTTGATAAGGTTACGAGGACCTGGCCTACTTTCTGGGTCCCCAAGCACTTTACTTCAGGAAGGGGAGGAGAGTGTGGACTCTAGAGGGTGTGGCAATTGTATGCCTGCTAAAGCAAGGTCTCGGGCTGGTTGGAGTTCATGGCTCAGATGAGACATTTAGGGGCTGAGATGGAACACAGGGCAGTGATGGGGAGGAGGTTTAAAAACTCCCACTTGCTAGTGGGACAGGATAAGAGTGCTGAAAGCAGGAAGGGTTTAGAAAAACCTACCCAAACAAGATTTCCTGAGAGACTGTGACTGCCCTATTGGTCCCTTGGATTTTTCCTCTCCCGTCATCTCCAGTTGCCTTATCTAGAGACACATGGAGTAAATACTCCTCTAAAAATGCACATTCCTTTAGGATGACCAAGGGACTACCAGCCATTGACTCTTATTTTTGACTGCTTTCATCAGATTGTCTTTATAGAATCACAGAGGTAGCAGAAGCCATCTCATCATCTTATAGCTAGAAACTGAAGCTCAAGAAAGATAATGATTTGTCAAAGACCAGACAAGTACTTTGGAGCCCAGCTGGACTAGCTAGATCCCAGATCTCCTGACTGCACGGACACGGCTCACCACTGCTCCCAGGGTGGGTCTTCCGACTTCTGCTAGACTGATTTCACTGGTCCCTAGTGAAATGAGAAAAACAAGGACAATGTGGTGGTATTGTGTGAACATAGCTGCCAGGCTGCTACCTTGTTCTGATCGCCTCCAAGTCACTCTGTTGATAAGGGAGGATCCCAGATTCCCACCTTGGGGTTTTAGAGATGGTTGAACATATGACACCTGATACTGGACAGATGTGAGTGACAGCATGAGTGACAGCAGTTTATTGGTCACATGTGCTCACAGCCTAGAGGAAGACACCACGTGCCAGGCACTGCCACCTGCCACCAAAGACTTGCACTCAGGAACCGTGAACAAGCAAGAGCTGTGGGAGGCAGACTTTGTCTCATCCAAAAGGTGGGATGCCTGTTTCCTGCAGGAGGACATGATTGGCTTGTTTGAATAGTTCTGTGGGCTGGCAGGGGACTGAAGCCTGCTTCTCAGAGATGAGCAGGAACTATGTCTGGTCCCCATGAAAAGGAGGGTTAACTGGCCTGAGGAACTTAGCAGCAGAAGCTGATCATTGGAAAGGAGAACTTATGGTTAGGCCACCTGAGACCGTCCCAGTTTTATCAGATGACAAGACAGTACCTACTAGAGAGTCCTAATTTTGGGATTATTGATGCCACACACCTGCTTGTCCTTGTGGTGGCCTATACTTTCATTCTAAGGTTATACCTTTCCACTTTTTTGAAGTGATAGTGGTAGATGGTGAGTTTTTAATGTCCTTTTGAGGCAAAAAAAAAAAAAAAAAAGAAAAGTGGTAACTCAAACTTCTTTGGAAATGTGACTGGTCTACAAAATTAAAAAATCCTCGAACGACTGCTCTACGCTCTGCTGCTTCACCTAATGTGTGGTTGAGGTCAAGTCCCTGAGTGAGGTCACTCCCTGAAGAACTGCTTGTTTGGCTGGAGACAAAGAATAAAAGTTTCTCTGAGAATGCAGGGCAGAGGAAGAGAGGACAAAGCACCAAGGGAGATCAAAATTTCAACATTTATTTAAGAAACTTAATTCATGGATGCTTAATTAATCAAAGACATTGTTGTTCTAGGCACAGGGCTGGACCCTGGGGATATAAAGATTAATGGAGCGCGGTCTCTGTGCTCAAAGGCTTGTCCAGTGGGGGAGATAGAAATGGTAAATGGATTATTTGAAAACAGTAGGGTAGGTGCAGAGGTAGAGATGTGTATAAAGTATTGTGGCAGCTGAAAGGAGGGGCAACTAATGACCCAGCCTGTTAGAGTGGCCTTGTTGGAGGAAGGGAGGCATGAACTGAGTCCTTAAAGACGAATGGGAGTTGCCCAAGGGTGGTGGACTGTGACAGTAATGGCCTCTAACAAATCGTTCAACCCAATACTCTTGCCCTTATGCAATCCCCTTCTGCCCTGACTCTGGGCTTGGCCACGTGCCTTGCTTTGGTCAATGAGCCCTCAGCAAATGAGATGCAAGCAGAAGCTTGATAAGTGTTTGTACGTTGGGACTTGCCTTCTTGGAATTTAGTTGCCATGTGAGGAAATTTGAGCTAGCCACGTGGAGAACTGAGATGCCTCAGTTTCTATCAACCACCATTTGGGGTCAACTAGCCCCCTGTTGACCTGCTACACGATCACAAAAAGCATCTGTAGTCCCAACTAATGCCACATAGAACACAAACGAACTGACCCCAATAAGCTTACTAAGATGGTTCTAACACCTGGATAGAAATTTTTTGATCTTCCTTTCTCAAGAAGTGAAGTCTGTGTTTCCTTGAAATCTCAGTGGGCTTGTGACTGCTTCCACCAGTAGAACATGGCAGAAATGACGCTAAAAGACTTTTGAATTTAGATCTTAAAAAGGCCATAAAGCTTTTACTTTGTTGAAACACTTAGACTCAGAGCCGCCATATAAACTGTCTGACTACTCTGGGCCACGCTGTAGAAGCCCCAGTCCCATGGAGAGGCATGGCCTGGGCACTCTGGTAGACAGTCTCAGGTGAACTTAGCCTTTAGGGTCATTTCAGCCCAGGATTCAGACATGTAACTAAAGAAGCTTCCAGACAATTCCAGCCCCAAGCTGTCTGAGTGGTCGCTTTAAGCAGTTGTTTTAGATGATCTGTTATATAACAATAAGGACCTGACACATAAATTGGTACCTAGAAGTGTGGTGTGGCTTTAAAACCTAAACACGGCAGGGACGATAATAGCTCAGTAAGAGTGCTTGCTTAGCATGCATGAGGTCCTGGGTTCAGTCCTCAGTACCTTCACTAAAAAAATAAAATAAAATAAAATAAAAACCTGAACATGCGGCGCTGGCTTTGGAACTGGGCGGAGGGCAGAGGCTTGAATGATAAGCAGTGAGGCAGCTGCTGTGCAGGCTGGAGAGAGTGAATGTGCTGGTGGGAGAGGCTGGGAAAGCAGTAAGGAAACTGCTTGG